CCCCCCCCCCCCCTCCTCTGACCCAAGAAGATCGATGGCATGACGCTCATGATAATGACACCTCAGGGACGGTGGACGTGAAGGAGTTGATCGCAGGGTTGGAGGGGCAGCTCAGGAAGGACTTCATCAAGCGCATGACCAAGACGATGAAGAGGAAGCCTTCTCCGGCTGAGGTCGACGAACGGATTTCGGAAATGCCCGGTGGAAGTCTGCTCCCGATGGAGGTATGGACCGCACCTTTTCTACGTGGGCGTCGGACGTATGGTGTTGTTTTGTCTACCCTAGCTACGTCTTTCGCGTTCGTTCTGTGTTTTGAAGGAAGTACGATGTTACAATGTGGGCATTCCCGAAGCACCGATAGTGAAAGTCCAAGCCAACTTGCCCCTGTTCTTCCCGTTCTTTAAAAACAACGCCTGCGAAGTACCCCGTATCCAAACTCGCCTCCCGCTTCCATGCACTTTTTGGCTTCGACGATGACATGCACGCCACGCCCAACCGTCTCGCATTCCTCATCCGCACCAACGGCATGTCGTTCTCTCTCCAGAAACTTCCCCAACCACACACTCCCGCCGCCTCGAAGTTTTGCATCATCGACCATTGACGCTATCTATGACCCTGTCCAAGCCCTAGCCCAACGCCCCTGACGCTTCACGCCATCCCGTGTCTTCGGCCACCGCAGCTGGCGCAAAAGCTGATCGAGAGTTACGACACCAACGGAGACGGGGTCCTCCAGCCGTCAGAGTTTGCCTCCAAGGCGGACATGCGGGTCAGGCTAGACAGCCTTTTTGCCGACCGTGCACAGGTGTGGTCATCTCCCTGTTTTGTCCCTTGCTTTTGTTTTCTCTTGGATGTGGCCGCAGTCTTAGGTCACGAGGGAGAAGGTGCGCCGAAGGGTGCGGAGACGGTTTTGCTATTTTGAACCTTGCCTATTATCGGGTGCCTCCTACCCAATGCCCCCGTTGTGTTTGTTTGCGGCCAGGGGGATTCGTTTGTGTCTCGCATTTTGCGGCTGGATCATTTCTATTTGTATGGCGACTACATATCGTATGTGAAACGTTGACCTACTACTTTTGTTGACCGAACGGTGACAACAACAATATCAACAAACCGTAGCTCGTGTGAACAACTGTACGGAATGATGTAGACAAGGATGCCGTTCCATGAATAAGTAAGACTTGCCCTCGAGGGCACCAACGTCGCCTTATTATCTATCTTTTGTATCATCCTCGTACGAAAATCCCGCCACTTCAACCACAGGCGGCTCGGTTGGAAGCGGCCGCCGCAAGAGAGAGGGAAATCGAGAAGAGGGGGGCAGACAAAGCGCGGCAGGAAGCCAAGGCCAGGGGGCTAGCCCTACCAGAGGACTTCAACGACGGCCCCCCCACCATCACAGACAAGCTCCTGTCGGTCCTACCGTACACTCTGCCTCTGATGGACAGCCTCGTATTCGGAGCCCACATCTTCCAGACATTCCCTACTCAGGTACTTCTGGTCGCCGTAGTATAGAGCTAGCCTAACCGTCATTGTTCAAGTCGTTTTTGTGCCAGGTCGTCTCTCGTTTGGTAGTGAAGTCTTGCCATCGCTGCAGCTGCAGATTTTACCCGTCGTTTTTCTGAGTCCCGTGGCAGTCTGGGTGCCTTGGTCGCCTTGTTTTGGCCTCGCTGGGGCGGTCGGTGACGATCCTACCAGCCACAGTTGATTATCTGCTCGATCGAACCGAAATCATGAAATTTCGGTGTTTCCTCAAGATTTTCTTCCTGTTCACCATGGAAGCTAGCTTCTTGCATGTGCTTCGAATTGTTTCTGCTGGCAGTTGGGTTGTTGACCACGCCTCTGCTCACCCACACGGGTTTCTCACGCGGATTGTTTTTCAACAGATTGGACAATATTCTCGACGTCACCTACCTTGTTTTGAAGCATCCCATTTTGTTTGTATTTTTGGTGCTGTCGATCGCCGTTGGCAGTTGAGCTTCTTGGAGCCTCTGGTGGCGATTTTGCTCATCTACCGGTCGCTTCCCTTTAGCGGACTGATCCTGTTCTTCGGCCTGCAATGGTTTGCTGCGAAGCCGGAGGTGAGCAAGGATTCATCGATAGCTGAGCAGCTTGTTGCTGTCGTCTTCGATTCGATAGTCGCTGTTCTTATCGTAGCGTTTGTTCTGGATGACCCCTAGCTTGGGGGGTATATCATGCATTGCGTAGAATGACACTCACATCTACGTACTCTTGTATAGGGGTGATACGCTTATTATTCGGGTGCGGTTGTTTGTGGATGCTGGCCACAAGAAGAGCACGAAGCACACATCGCCAACCTTCATCTGCCGCGTTGTGCACGCCCGCGATTACTGTGACACCCCGCTCTACATCCAAGTTTCCTTATGGTTTGTTGGATTTGTTTTCGCACTTGAGCAATCGACGTCGTTGGGCTTTCCATCAAATGACAACATGTCCAATATTTGACAATCCTGTACATTATGTGGTCGACCGCGTTGAAAATTCAATGCTCTTGGTGTTGGGTGTCGATCCCCCCCCCCCCCCCCCCCCCCCCC